ATATATATAAACTGGACCTGAGCCAGGTATGATGGCACATACCTTTAACCCCAGCACTCAGGAGGCAGAGGCAGGCAGATCTCTGTGAATTTGAGGCTGCCTGGTCTACCTAGCGAGTTAAGGGAAATCCTGTCTCAAAAACCCAAAACAGAAACAAAACAAAAACCTGGACTTAAATCACTTACGGCATAGACAAGGTAAAGACCAAACTAAATTAAGTGATTTGTTTTAACACATAGACGTACTCAGATTTTCATCAACTAATCTTAAACTGAAACGGAAGTTGAGAATATCATCAACGTGGCTTCTTAAATTGTAGAACTTAAGAGGTCTACAACTGGTCACACACAGAGAATAAGTGTCTGTGAAATGCCCAATCTTAAGTGACACAACTACAATGGAACCTCTATACCTAAGACTCATGGAACACATTGGAACAAGGGGTAGAGAGAAAACTAATGCATCCCTCAACTCTCATCAGCGAAGCTTCCTCATGCAATAGAGGGCAATGAACCCAGGGCTCAGGGACCATCGCAGAAGAGGGGACAGAAAGATTGTAAAAGCCAGGGGAGAAGTATATGGCCATATGGAAATAGAATCTTACAGGTTCCTGGGACCTTACGCACATGAATTTACAGCAATGATGTCAGCATGCACAAGACCCATGCAAGCTCAAGCAGACAAAAACCTAGCATAGAATTGTGGAAATGGGCAGTAGGCCCCAATCTTAGCCAAAGAACTATAGGGCAGCTGATTACTACTGAGTGAGGAAGAGCTGATCTTCTTTAAGGGAGAGACTCTACATAAGGTGACTAGACCCCAGTGGATGAACTTGCACTGAGGCACATCAGGGGACATTAACTTGGCTCAATAGGCCTTAACATAAATGACAGAATGCATGAAATCCAGTGGGGGGGCTATGGGAGGGTGCCAATGGGGAAGGGGTATAAAGAAGACTAAGATTTTGTATATGAAATACACAAAAATTCAATAAGAAATATTTTTTTTAAAGAACCTGTTAAAGGGACCTCTGGCTGACTAGATTTACCAGAAGGGCAGATGGGGGGAATGGATGGGGGTGCTGACAGCACAGTGGACAGTGGCAGGGATAGCAGAGTATGGAGGCTCTAGTGGGAGAGGAAGGCTGTCTACCTGACGAGTTTGTATTCATGCTCAGATGCCGAGGAGCTCAGAAGGTGGGTGACTGTGACCAGTTATAGTCATGTATATAGAGATTAGAAATGCATGTGAAAACGTCTCAATGTCAATAGCCTTGGAATGAATTTTTCTGTATGAAACTGTGTGTTTTGACAACGAGGTGGAGATCTTTTTTAAACATTGGAACCTCATTTAATTTTATGTCTTATAGAGTTTATAATGAGTAAAAGATACCATTGAAATCTACCCAATGACTTTATAGACATACACAGGCACCAAGGATCCAAGTGCAACCAATTATGACTAGTAATAATCAGATAAATAAAGATTAGAGATGCATGTGCAAACATCTAAGTGTTAGTAGCATTCAAAATGAGTTTTTCTGTATGAAACAGTATATTTTAAAATGAAATGGAGAGCTTTTTTAAAGGCTAAAACCCCATTCAGTTTTATGCCTTATAGGGTTTATACTGAGTTCAACATTGTATAACTGTAATAATTCAACTGCAAACCTAAAAATGTACAGCCAATTTTGTAAGAGATGCAGCCTAGCTCAGAAAATTGCTGTTGAATATGTCAATGCTGATGTAATGAAATGCTTCTTCTAAGTATGTGGTTATTAAATAAATAATTTAAAATTTTTAAAGGCGAAAAAAAAGAACCTGTTAAAAATGTTGGTTAAATTATCTCTTTAATCAAGAGCTATCACCATAGGAACAATTTTTTTTTCTAGTTCCTGGGATTCAAAGTATAGTTCATATATTTTAAATCATCTTGTTTTCCTCTCCTTATTTTCTCTCACAGGGTCTGTCTCTATAGCCCTGGCTGGTCTGGAATTCACTATGTACACTAGGCTGGCCTCAAACTCGAGGAGATCCTCCTGCCTCCCAAGTGCTAGGATCACACCTGGCTTGTCTTATTTTCTTAATATACATACTCAAGGCAAGTTCTTAAGGAATTCTTTGATTGCTTTCTACAGGTTCTGATATATAAGCAACTTGACTGTTAGTTGATATTTTAAAATAGTTTTTATTTTTATTTCTTTGGTGCTAGAGCTTGAAACCAGAGCCCTGCACATTTAAGTATGTGCTCTATTGTCTACCTCCTTTAATCTATTTTAAAGAATTTCTTTTCTAAGTCGATGGAGTTCATTAACAATTTTTTTGTTAACTTCCAATTTTACTGTGTTAGAATCTAAGAGGCTGTATTAATTGCTTTTTGAAATTTATTCAGATATTTGGAAGACCTGTAGGAAAATGAAGTTTTACATTGTTTCTTTTTCAAAAAGAAGCATGTTTTGCAGACCTACCGCTACAGCAAGTTCCCAAAGGAAAACTAGATAGACTCAAGGGTCACCAGTTTTACCACACACAAGAAAGCATGGAAATGAAAATGTGAGGATAAGATCGTTGTTAAAAAGTCCCAGCACTTGGAAGGCAGAGGCAGGCGGATCTTTGTGAGTTCACGGCCAGCCTAGTCTACATAGTGAGTTCTAGGCCAGCTGGGGCTACAGGGAGACCCTGTCTCAAAAAGACCAAAATAATAATAATAATAATAATAATAATAATAATGAATTCCTGGGGCTGGAGAAATGGT